GCACGCACGCACGCACGCACGCACGCACGCACGCACGCACGCACGCACGCACGCACGCACGCACGCACGCACGCACGCACGCACGCACGCACGCACACACACACACACACACCACACACACACACACACACACACACACACACACACACACACACACACACACACACACACACCACACACACACACACACACACACACACACGCACACACACACACCACCACCGCCACCACCACCACCACCGCCATCACGCACGTACGCACCTGGCCCACCACCAAACCACCAAGACGCCACACCACGTCACACCACAGCACACGCGCACACACGCACACACACACACATACACACCACCACCACAACAACCACAACCACGCACACACGCACGCACGCACGCGCACCACCACCCACTACGCACACGCGCGCGGAGCCACAGGTCCGCTACGACACGCGTCCGCGGATAGAGAAAATCAGCGCCATGGTAAGGGATGGGAGGGAGGGGTAGGATGTTAGATGTTGACGCGAGCGCACCCGACTTGCCCTCCCCCCCTCCCCTCCCCCCTGCCTCCTCCTGTTACCGCCCGCCTTGATCCCCCTGCCTCTGCACCCCCAATCTCCCATCCCCCCACGATCTCAACTATCTCCCCCAAAGACGGCTTGTGAATGGCGCCCACTCTCCGCTTTTCCCCAATCAGAGCTTGCCTCTGTAGGGGTTCTAGCGGATTCATATGGTTAGGTTGGGTTTGTCGCCGATTTTCGCGGCACGCCCAGGTGCCCGGGTGCCCGGGTGCCCGGGGGTGCCCGGGGCCCGGGTGCCCGAGGGGGGCCCGGGGGGGCCCGGGGGGGCCCGGGTACCCAAGTGCCCGGGCGTGCCCGGGGGTGCCCGGGGGTGCCCTATAGCCTTATAGCCCTAAGCCCTATAGCCCAATACCCCTATAGCCCTACAACTCTATCCCCTAGCCCTATATATGATCCCGGGCTCCGGGCCCACGGGCATCCCCCCCCCTCCCCCCAGATGATATGGTCCCAGGATTCCTCGGGCCCCCCGCCCCCCCCAGATGGTATGGTCCCAGAGACGACGACGACGACGACGACGGCGACGACGACGACGACGGCGACGACGACGACGACGACGACGACGACCATGACGACGACGGCTGCGGCGGCGACGACGCCAGCGGCGGCAGCGGCGACGACGACGATGACGACGATGACGACGGCGACGACGACGATGACGACGAGGACGACGAGGACGACGAGGACGACGAGGACGACGAGGACGAGGACGAGGACGAGGACGACGACGACCTCTGAACCACCAAAGCACCAAACCACATCCACAGGGGGGGGAGGGGGGCACCGCAGCGCAGCACCACGCCACGCCTACCTCTAAATCACCACAGCACGACACCACATCCACAGGGGGGGGGAGGGGGGCACCGCAGCGCAGCACCACGCCACGCCCACAGGGGGGGCGGGGGGGACCATCGCGCGGGGGGGGGGCCCTGGGCATCAGCATTGGGGGTGGGGGGGGGGGGCCCAAGCCCTGGACCATATATATAGCCCTGATTGGGTTTTTTTCTCCGGTAACATTTGTTTTTGAACACGGGATTAGTCGGAGTTGTTTGTTCCTCAGTCTTTTGTTTGTCCACTCCGAACGTGGTCGGTCCTTCCGAAATGGTGTCCCCGCTGGAGCGTTGGCTTTCTTTTAGAATCAGCGCGTTGCTCTCATCGTGGAAGGGGCCCTGGGACACACCAATAAACAGACACAAATAACAGGATTCCCCATATTCCCAAATCTTTTTCTGCGTTTTTGTCTTCCCCCCCCACTTCCAATAGTTTCCCATACTTTCTTGGGAATCGACGATTACTTGTGTCTGTGTCTGTGTGTGTTTTTTCCCCTCCTGACATCGTTCAGAGTGGTGCTCCCGCTCCAGGGCGGGCCACACTTCTGGATGCGACTGCGTCCTCGTCGTTGTCGCCTTCCCCGCCTTCTCCTGGCCCTCCTGCTCATCCCGTTCCTGCCCCTGCTGCTGCAGTTCTTCGATGCTCTCCACACTCATCGTTCTTCTCTTTCAGCCTCTCTCTCTCTCTCTCTTTCTCAGCCCTGCTGCCGTACCGACGCGTTCTTCCTCCTGCTCATGCAGCCGACCCGTATCACAAGGACGCACGATGAGGATGCAAGGGCCTTGGAAGGGCATTTCGAAGCTTCTCGAGCGGGGCGCGACCAACGAAAGTGCCCAAGGATGGGCCCAGGAGGCAGGGATGCAAGGGTACCCTTGAGAAACTTGTCCATCCTCACTATGCGGGCTGACTGTATTACTCCCACTCATCCGCCACCTCCTCCCATGTACACAGCCTCTCTTTTCAGACTGCGCGCATCACGATAGGGGTCCTCTTCTTGCCGTCGCTCGGACGTCCATTTCCCGTGCATGTTTCGGTTTCGTGCGTGCTTGTTGCTCGATGGTCCAGGATGGTCCTCCATGGTTCTCGCCGAGAAAAAATGCACACGTCCGAGCGATGCCAGGCTCTTGGGTGCCAGACGTAGATGTGAGCAGGGGTAGGATGTCAGATGTGGCCCGAGCGCGCCTGGACTGCCCCCACATCCGGCCACTCCAATTTGTTTGGTGCGTGGGCCCCTGCGGACTGGACCACTTCCCAAGGGTCAGTTTTTCACCCCGAGTCGTTTTGATGACGGTCCCGAGGCCTGGTAGGGCCCCCAGAGTCCGAAAACAAGCAAAAGCAGCCCGCTCCAACATCTTTTTGGGAAGATCTCGGCGCAATGGGAAGGGGGAAACCAAAGGGTATACGGATACCGCTTCTCCTCGGACATCTCCTGGGGTGCGATCCGACCAGGATTTCCAGGCGAATCCAGCGATGGCGACGACGGAGGCCCAGGAGGCCCAAAAAGGGGAAAGCGAGGGGAGGGTAGAGGTATGGGCACCTTTTCCTCCTCTGAGATGCAAGGAGCGGTAGGATGTCAGATGTGCCCGAACGCGCCTAGCCTGTCCTCCCCCTTTTCTCCCCTCGGGAGCGGCCACGAAGGGGTGTCTAAGAGGAGGGAGCGCAAATCATGGCCGACGGCATGTGCGCGGACCGTGGGGGGGGGGGGCAGGGACGCACTGAAGAACGACGAGGCGCCATGAGATCCGGGGAGATACCATGGCCCCCGCCATGATACCCACCACCCCCCAGTCATCACCCCCCTCTTGGCTGTCCCCATGGTAGTGATAGGATCTGGGATTTAGAAAAGCGGTCGCGGATGTAGAATATAAGTTTTTGAATTTAGTAAACCGGCTTGTGCGGTTACTAAGTGATGTCTTGTCTTGTTTCGATCAGGCTGCGCAATTTGATACGTCCGCTTCTCGCTTTCGTAAATCATCGCTTTTCCAAAAGTTGGTTTCAAGAATGCGCGTTCATTCATTACCATGACCTGTGTGAGCCGGTGAGACTAGCCTGTCTCCTGCCTTTTCGGGGGCGGCCAGGAGGGGGGCGTCCAAGAGGGCGGGGTGCGAATCATGACTGGCGGCATGTGCGCGGCCCCGGGGGGGGGCCAGGGAACGCATTGGCCTAAGAAGAGGCGCCGCGAGACCTGGGCAAAGATCATGGCCACCGCCATGATATCCCCCCCCCCCCCTAGTGCCGTCACCCCCCTCTTTTCCCCCCGATGCAGGGGATTGTGGACGAACCAAGAAAACATATCCCAAACATATGCCAAAGATGCCCCCGAAAATTCATTTTTTTTTATTAAAAAAAACGACTCTTTTTTGCCCCCGACCCCCCCAGCCATCACCCCCCCTCCTTGCCGCCCCCGACCCCTTCCTCCCCTCCCCCCCCTTCCCCGCGACGGCCGAGACCGAGGCCGGGCCGCCGCGGCGCGCGGCTCTACTCGGCGCGCGCCGCCGACTGCCTGCGAGGCTTTTTTTTTTGGGGGGGGAAGCGGAAGGGGGGGGGGGCAAGGAGAGAGAGAGAGAGGGGGCTCCCTCCTCCCCTGGCAAGACATCCTCCTCCTCCTCCTCCTCCTCCCCTCCCTCCTCCTTCCTCCTCCTCCTCCTCCTCCTCCTTCTCCTCTCTCCTCTCCTCCTCCTCCTTCTCCTCCTCCTCCTCCTCCTTCCTCCTCCTCCTTCCTCCTCCCTCCTCCTCCTCCTTCCTCCTCCCTCCTCCTCCTGCTCCTCCTCCCTCCTCCTCCTCCTCCTCCTCCTCCTCGTCCTCCTCCTCCTCTAGAGGCGCCCTCCCTGGCAGGAGATCTCCTGATTCTAGATTCACTCGCGGCAGCGGTCTCAGTCGTCTCCGCGCCCGTGCCAACTCTGAAAACGGGCTCGCGGAGCGAGACTGGCTGCTGAGCATCACCCATCAGCAAAATCGCTCGACATGTTTTCAGTGGCGGTGCTCCGTGCGGAGGGCCCAGACTCAGGGGAACGGTGCACACTACTTTGATCCCCCCTCGCCCGAGACGGAGGAGGGGAAGGGGATGGGGAGGCGGAGGAGGGGTACCAGAGTCAACCCAGGATGCAGCAGGAGGAAGAGGAGGACCAGACGGTACGCTAAACAGCGAGGTGGCGTACCGGACACAGCAGCTTCCTATTACCCTCGGCCCCTCACATTGCCACTCGAGGCTCCTCCATAGACAGCGCACCAGAAGGACTGTAGGGCGTGGCTCGGCCTGGAGACTCTGCAAGGGGCCCGTTCTTTCTTGTAGGGAAACGAACTCTATACACCGACGCTTTTTCCGACCCTGCGCTGAACTTCGCACAGGAACGCGGATCCTGGTGCATACGGGATCCTGGTGTATACACTTTTCGCTGGAGAACGGGGGAGAAATATGCACGCCAAATCCGCGTCGAATCCACGCCAAATCCGTGTCGAATCCGCGTCCACGCCAAATCCGCGTCGAGTCCGCATCGAGCACGCGTCGGGCCCCCAAAAAGACACCAGTTTTTTTGGGGGGGGACTGTCTACCTGATGAAATGTTGAGGCCGTAGTTCGCTGGTCTGTGGACAAAAAGTGCCTTGACATAGAAGGCACGCGCTGCACACGCCAGCTGGCGGAGCACGTGCAAAGGAACGAAGAATGCAAGACGACGCAGAGCAAACTGCCTCGACGCATAACAATGCACGCGCCGTCACGCTGGGTGGCAGATCACTTGCAGGAAGATGGAGGAAAGACGGAGGAAGCAGGGAACGCAGCCTTGAGATTGTCATGCTTTCTCTCTGCAGAGGCTTCGGGAAGGGAGAAGAAGCGAACAAATGGAGATGCCTTCGGCTCACAACTGCCACATGACACAAGTCCAGCAACTTCGAAATGGCAATTGCGCAAGCACCGAGAGCAGCACTTCCAGTACACGCTCACAAGTGCATTGGCCGATATATTGATAACGATGTAGGACCATGTACCGGGTAAAGCACGACCACCATCTCAAAAAAATGCCATCTCATCATCCTAAAACTACTAGCTGCGATAATTCTGTTTCTGGGAAATTCCACAGAACTAAGAGCCGCCTGGAGTGGTGTACGCTCCGCCTGGCGGTCGCTACTTTGAAGAACGACGACTGTAATCGGTGTGCTTGCCCGAGGAGGGGACGAGTCCGCCGCTCGACTCGTCGCCCGACTGAGACAAGAAACTCAAAGACCGTGTCCAGCCAGGGGCGCTTTCAACGCCCCAGGCAGCCGGGTTCCGGAAGGCATGCACGGCGCAGAAGGCAATCGAGACCAAGCGCCAGCTCCTCTCTGATTGCGGGGGAGAGATGGGATGAGTCCAGGAGGGGGAAATCGAGGAAGGGAAGGACGAGAAAGGCAGACGAGAGGCTCGACGCCGACAGGAGGTGACCGCGCGCGGCAGGCGGGGGCGCGCGGCGCAGGAGGATGGCGCGTGGCTGGGCTGGTGGGGCAAGGGGGGGGGCAGGAAGTTCGGGAGGTCACGGTTGCATGGAAGATCTGGGACGAATTCGCCCGCGCACGTGCCTGTGCACGGAGGTGGATTCTGTACAGTCCATGCTCTCGGCGGACGTGGGGGCAGCGTACCTCGCTACCGGGAACCAAGGGGGCAAGAGTCCATCTCGCCGACTCCAGAGATCACTGGGCGCTCGCTGGAAGAGAAGGCGGCACTGTAAAAACAATCCTGTGCTACACGCGCGGCGCCGAACCCCAACCTGGCTCAAGCTGCAGCAATGGTAGACATGCGGTTCCATGTCGGATCCGAGGGCCTCGGCAATCGATACGGCACACCATCTCCAGGGCCCCAGTAAGGCAAGCTCGGTCGAATTGTCTTTCCTGGAGCGCCGTGCAAGCTCTAGGCTCCGTGGTCCGCCGCTGGATCTGCGCCCGCGTTCAGCAGTGCCGTGGCCACGTCCAGCTCGAACTGCGCGGTGGACAGGCGCATACCCGCGGTCCACTCAGCGGTGCCCAGCGGAGTGTTCGGCATTCCCCTGAAGTCGATGGGGCGGGCGCTGAAGGAGTGGTTCCCCGTTCCCGAACCGAGAAGCTGGAGCGGAGACTGTCCGCCGACGCTCGTCACGTCGACCTTCGCGCCGTTCTCGATCAGCAGCCTGACAACTTCCTCGCTGCAACCGAGGCGGACCGCGGCGCAGAGCGGCCACTCGAAGCGGCAATCCCAGATTGGATTCCAACGTGGGTCTGTTAGTATAGAGAGGGTCATGACACAAACGTTGCAACACATATTCTGCGTATCTGTGCATATGCGGTCTGGCAAATCGGGGCGGCATCATCGCGACGCCAAGGGGCGTCGCGGACTCGAGCCTTTGGCCTTGAAGCACGAAGCGCACGATTACCCAGATCATGAAGTTCTGCAACAAGTCACTGTGTTCTGGGGGCGCACGGACACGCAAAACACTGTTCAGCTAATCGTTAGCTGGCGCCCGCCTCGAACTCATGCGCCACCCCCCGCCTCTTCCAAATGTCCTTTCGCTGTGGCCCCACCCTCCTCATGCCCCTCCGATCGCCCCGGTCCCCATCGTGCCCTTCATCCACATTGCTCACCCCCCATGTGCCAATTCACGTCGTTCCTCGTCGTCTTCCTGCGCCGGATTCGTTCCCCCATCGTCCACATGCCTGCCCTCCTCCAATCCTCTACGCCCTAGTGCACATCATGCCCCCAACTTCTGCCTCCCCCACCTCCCTCGCCCTCGCGATGCTGACACCGATGATCCACATCCTCCTGGGCTCATTTCTTCCGCTCTCGTCCAGTCCCGTTCATCCTTGGCCCCTCGGCCACCCCTCCTATCGAACCCCTTCCTTCCCACAGCCCACCATCTCCACCCCCCCCGCGCCTTTGCATGCCCAGACCACGGCCCCCTCCTGGACCAGCCGGGAGACCCGCGGAAACTCCCGCCCAGAGACCACTCCAGCGAACGGCGCGCAGCAAATGCACAGTTGGAGACACGAACTGTGCATTTCGACCGCGCACGACGCCCCCCTGGACCAGCCGGAAGGGAAACGCGAAAGTTCCCGCCCATTCAACACCACCCGCGAGGGACACACTCCAAATACACAGATGGGAACGAAATCTGTCTACACAGATCACACCACGATCTGTGTAAACAGTCGGCCCACACACGAAAATACACAGTTGAAGACACAAACTGTGTACACAGATCACACCTTGATCTGTGTATTTCGAAAAGGTAAACGCTCGCCACCTTGAGGGCGCCCCGACTTTGCCAGCCCAGAACCGAGGTTGACATGCCCAGCTGGGGGGGACTGCAAATACACACTTCCCCGGCCCAGGGCGCCCCGGAGAGAACCGCAAATGCACGCTTCCCTGGCCCAGGGCGGCCGCGGTGTAACGCGGCGCCAAAGCGGCCCCCAACGGCCCGAAGACGCCCCAAAAGGCCTCGAAGGACCCCAAAGAATGCCGCGCGGCAGTCCGAAAACACGAGAGATGTCACATGTCATGGACCTCTTAACAGTCAAAGCTCCACGCGTCGCCATATAGACCACTGCTCTGGCAGGGGGGCGGACCTTGCCGCAGGCACCTATAATGTACATGTTAGCGATGCGACTGTGCTCGGCGGCCGTGCCGCCCGCATTTTGGGTGCGCCCCGAACTCTCGCATTGGCAATCCCCTCTGTTTGGTTGCGCCGCTGTGCGCGGATATCGGAAAAGCATTTACCGCTGACGCGGGCACGCGGCACCAGGGACTTCACTTTTCGAACAAGGAGGGTGGACGAGGTAGGACGACGGACGGTGGAGCAAGGAGGCAAAGAGGAACGAGGAATAATAAGGGAGGTGGGAAGGGGCGCTCCCCCGCCCGAGCCGCGGACGCTTTCGACACCATCCAGGGGAGATAAGAAAGGAAGGGGAACGGAGCAAGGGCGAGGACGACGACGGGAAGCAAAGTGTCCCGGGTCCGCATATAGCCATATGTCTGCGATTCGGGTGCGCGCGCTTTTTTCGAGGCACTTCAAGCCCGACCCATGCTGAATTCACTAATTCCTTAAAACTGTGTAAACACTCTGTCCTCTGTTCCCTCTCCTATACAACGGCCTCATAACAGAGGGGCAGTGGATTCCAAATCCCAGAACGGCTCCTTGGCTGCCTCTGGGTCTGCCTCGATGGCGAGGCGCACTTGCTTCAGGCAGTTTCGCTCCAGGGCCAACAGCAAGGGCTCCGCACGCTCCCTGATTTGCGGAGGCGGCGGCGTTGTAGGCACCCTGGAGCGCACACGCGGCGTACTGGGTGGAGTCGTGCAGACTGTCTGCGACGCCCTGGGGGTCCGGGGCGCGCAGGTTCTGGACGGACCCTGAGCCGAGCACGCCACCTCTGACACGCGCTTGGGGTTGTCCGAGGACTCGTCGTCAGAGTCGCAGGCCGCTCTGATGGGTCTCATCAACGAACCTGGCCACTGCGGGACGTCGGGCTGGCCAATCGGGTAGTCCCGTCTCTGGAGGGGAGCCGACATGTGGCCGAAGTGCACCGCTACGGAAGTGGTCCTGTACAGGGTTGATGCGCAACCAACCTTGCCTTGAGCCAAAATGGCTACGGACCAAAAAGACACCAATTTTTGGGACAGGCGAGGTCCCCCGAAGATGCAACAGAACTGTGGGGAGCCCAGCGGATGGATCTGGATCGGCCGAGAATCGCCTCACTCGACAGCGCCTGCTCAGCGCGGCTTCCTCTGCCCACGAGCGGCGGTGGGCGCACCCGGTGTCCCCCCCCCGGGCCTGGCCGCGACCGCAAGAGCTCCTCTGGTCGTGCTCGGCCTGCCCTGCCAGTGGCCGGAGGTGAGGTCCAGGGGCGCACGCGCGTCCGACTCGCATCCGATGCGTTTGTTATGTTGTTTTTGTGTGCGATTTGTTGTGTTACATGTGTATAGAACCATCTCATCAAGGATGCGCATGCGCGGGGCGTGTTCGCGGGCCTACCCTTCGCGACGTGGTCCGCAGCGCGGCAGTGCGCCCGGTGAGGGCGGAGAGGCCCCCCGCCCTGATCGATCCATCAGTAACCTGCGGTGGGGCCATACGAGGTCCAGGTCTGAATAGAAGCAAGTAGAGCTGGGTAACGCGCTGTACACGTCGAATACAGCTGTCCGCTGTCATGCATGCCTGCTGACTGTGTGTTTGAAACGGCCGGCACCTTTGCCCACCCCGCACCCCCCGTGTGACCCCCCGGCGCCCCAGAGCTGATTCTTGCCAGAGGCTGTCCATCTGCGCACCCTCGGCAGGCAGGAGGAGGAGGAGGAGGAGGAGGAGGAGGAGGAGGAGGAGGAGGAGGAGGAGAGGAAGAGGAGTAGGAGGAGGAGCAGGGAGGAGGAGGAGGAGGAGGAGGAGGAGGAGGAGGAGGAGGAGGAGGAGAAGGAGGAAGACACCAGCGGCAACTTGGATTCTGTATGGGCCAGCCAGTGCGAGTTCGCGGCGACCGCGGTCGCCCGCCCAGTTCTTACTTCGGCGGTGGACAGACCTCCCCTTAGTGAAAACGGCCTGGGACCGAAACCGACGGACCTGGACCCGCAAAAATGGCGGCCGCGACGCCCTCTCGCGAACCGAAAACGGCCAATTCCTTAAATCGACGTGTCAGGGTAGGAGGTCTGTCCACCCCCGATTACTGGTTGGCCGGCCGGAGCGCCCTCTTTGGGCGGCGGCGCTGCTCTGAAGGAGGACCGATGAGGATGACGACGAGGATGACGCCATCGTCACCATCATCGTCATCACCCCCCTCTACTTCCCACTCAGCACTCAGCCTCAAAACGGAGCCTTCGCCGGAGACTGCCTCGAAGCTCGCGACCGGAAGGCCAGGCGTGCGCAGCCTACAGAGGCGCAGATCGGCGCGGCCGTGCTCCAAAACGGTGGTCTCGCTGGGCACCTCGTGGGGCTGTGCGGCCGCACCTGCCCGCACGCCTTGCCTTCCGTCGGGCCCGTCACCCCCTGACAGGGGGATTGTGGACGACAAATGAGACATCGTCAAACAAAATATACCCCCAAAAATTGCAAACATAACAAAAAAAAAGGCGGAACAGATCGTCCCCAGACGATTTGTGGACTATCTTTGGAGTCTCCTCCTGCAGAGGGACAGGCCCGACCTTTAAGCCGTGCCGCTCGCCCGAGCGATGCGCGGGGCGGTGCCCCTCCAAAACCGGGGGCCCTCGCCCGAAGCGGGGCGAGGGCCACGGGATGCTCCGGCCCTGCAGGGCAGCGCCTCCTGCAGGGACGAGTTTTTTTTGCAATCCAGGGTGTTTTTTGCAATCCTTCGTTCAAGGGAGGGTTTTCTTGCAATCCTTCGGTTTTTTTTGCAATCCTTCGTTTTTCTGCAATCCTTCGTTTTTTTGCAATCCTTCGTGTACGTAAGGACTTGTGCTAAGTCGGGCGTGTCCCCCCTACAGGGGGATTTTGGGCGGAAAATAAAAACATACGTTTAAACAGATACCCACAAATAGCATTACACAAAACATCGCCCCCAGGCTATTGTTCTGCTGTTTCTGCACACTCCCCCTGTAGAGGCACAGGCCCGACTTCAGACTGGTGAGACGGGGACCTGGGAAACGGGAGGGTGTACTGCATGCAGCATGGTCGATGCATCCTGGGCCTCCGCCTTCAAGTCCCCTCCGAGACCCCTTCCAAGGGATTGGTCTCGCCTCGCCCTCTTTTTCCCCCTCCTCCTCCTTCGGGGATGGACAGACCTCCCTTTAGTAAAACGTGGTTTAGTGAAAGCGACCTGAGGCCCAAACCTGGCGGGCGCAGGCCTGGAAAATAACGGCCGCGGCGCCCTCTCGAGAACCGAAAACGGACAATTCACTAATCGACGTGTCACTGTTGGGGGTTCTGTCCACCCCCGACTCCTCGCCCTTCCCCGTTGCATCGTCACCCTCATCCGGCCGCTCCTCTCGGAGCACGGCGACCTGAGACAACGGCAACTCCTAGTCGGACCCCCGACCCCTCCCGGGGTCCAGACGCACCACTTCCCCGAGCCGCGCCCAGCCGTGTCGACGAGGCCCCCCCCCCCCCCTGGTAGGCCAACTACCCCTGCCTCAGCGAGAGCAGAAAAGCCACCCTCATGACGAGGCCCCCGACAAGCGAAGCAGCGTAGCAGACGCACCCCAGGAAGGAATGGAACAGGAGGGCAAGGCTGTTTAGTGAACGCACAGGGCCGCTCCGCAAACGCCAATTATCGGGGTCGGGGTAGTCTTTCCTCCCTCGACGACTGGCCTCAGGTCGGGCGTGTCCCCTGCAGGCGGATTTTGGACGAAAAACAAAACATACCAAAACAAGATTCAAACACATTCAAAAATCCCACCAGCCCTCTGGGCGTAGGTGGTTTAGGGAGTTTCCTCTTCCCCTTCGGGGAGGGGTTTACCCCTCCCCCTACCCCCTCCCCTGGACCTGGACGGGGGGTTCCGTGACGCGTTGGAGCGTCCAAAACGGCCTCGGCGTGGAAGCCAAAAGCATTGATTTTACTAGGGTTTTGGCCCCATTGTGGTCTCCTGAGGGGGGGGGCTGATTGAGCCACGCCCCCTCCTGTGATCGATCTCCTCCAAGATAGCCCCAAGAGGCGCCCAGGAGGCCCCAAGAGGCCCCGAGATGGTCCCAAGATGACCCCAAGATGGCCCCAAGAAGCCCCCAAGAGGCCCCCAGGATGCCCCTAAGAGGCTCCCAAGAGACCCCCACGAGGCCCCAAGAGACCCCCCAGAGGCACCCAAGACGCTCCAAGAGGCCTCAGCGAGAATTTGGCCACATTTGGGCCTCCTTGGCCAAATGTGGCCAAGGAGGCCCACATTTGGCCCAGGAGTTGTACTAAGGTTTTGGCCACATTTGGGCCTCCTTGGGGGGGGGGGGCACTGCTTCAGACGACTCCACGAGCGCCTGGGAGAGCCCGAGATGACCTCCAAGATGGCTCAAGATATCCCAAGATGCCTCAAGATGGCTCACACGATGCTCCAAGAGGCCCCAAGACCGCTCCAAGACGGCTCCAAGTGGCCAAAGAGCTCCCCCAGGAGGCCCCGAAGAGGACAAAATCCTCCCTCAGGGAAAAAAATGGTTTGGATTTTCTCGCCTTTTCGCTTCCGATGGCCATCCGAGACTTCAAGATGACTACAAGATGGCCCAAGAGGGCTCCAAGAGCGCTCCCAAGGCTCCAAAGAGCGCTTCAAGAGGGCCCCAAGAGGCGCCCAGGAGGCCCCAGGAGGCCCCAACAGGCGCCCCAGAGGCCTCCACGAGGCCCCCAAGAGACCCCCAAGAGGCCCCAAGAAGCTCCCCGAAACACCCAAGACGCTCTAAGAGGCGTCCGGGCTCGCCAAGAGGCCCCCAAGACGCTCCAAGAGGCCTCCACTGGGGGACCCTTCCTCTGTGTGCTGCCCACTTCCCTGATTGAGCCACTTCCTCTGGGCATCCTTTCTGGATGGGCTGGTGGGGTTGCTTTTTCTGGTTGCGACCGCGCAGCAGAGGGCAAGCGGCGAAAGGGGTCCAGGGCACGGGCCAAACGGGTGGGGTTACGCGAAGCGTCTAGACTTGCAAAACAACAGATCCCCCCAGGCTACACCCTGCGAAATGCTTAAGAAATCATGGGTTAAGAAATTCATAGTCTCAGAACTTGAATAAAAACCCTAAATTTCTATTACAATCTTAGGATTTACGTTGAAACATTAAGAAGAATCGAGACTCTGGCCGAAAATTTAAGTTTTCTTAAGCATCGCCTAAGGTGTAGTTTTTTGCAGCTATGTTTAATATTCCCCCTGCAGAAGGACACGCCCGGCTCACAACTGGCCGTCCTCCGACCCTCCCCCCTCGAGCAGGGACCGACCGCCCCAGCACTCCTGTAGTCCTACCACGAAGTGTTCTTAGAACCCGTGTCGTGGAAACCACAGAATGTTCTTAGAATACTGTTTGACCAAGACGTTTCGCCACTGCTTTTTGGATGCCCGAAATGGGTACGGAAAGAATGGGTGCAATGCCCAACAACAAATGTTGTCCCAAACCAACAGCGGCCGCTGTTGGGCAGGCGGCCTTCTGTCTCGAATGGACACAGGCCGCGGCGGCGTGGACAGCGAGGCCTGTTCAGAATGAATAGGATCCGCTGTTGGGCATTGTACCCATTCTTTCCGTGCCCATCTCGCTCGTGCAGAACTCGTGGAAACCACAGAAGGTTCTTAGAATATTGTGTGACCAAGACGTTTCGCCACTGCTTGACCCCCGCCTCGCGAGCTGGAGGAGGGGCTCCCTCGCCTCGCCCGGCTTCCGGGCCAGAGCTCGGGTCTCCGGCGGCCGCCCGGCACGACCCAGGCCCCCCCCGCGGCGCTCCCGGCGAGGCGCGGCCGCTGGGAGGCACCCCCGAGGCCGAAGGGGCACAGAGAACCGGCGAAGACGCTGGAAAGCCGCCTGGAACCCACGCGAAGACGCTCGAAAGCCTCGAGCCCAGGAGCGCTTTCCTCCCTGACGTGCGGCCCCTCCCCCCGACGAGTCTGAAGGGAGCATCCTCTGAGGGGCTTCCGAGAGGCCTCTTGAGAGGTGCCCCATGAGGGGCTTCTGCGAGGCCTCTTGTGAGGTGCCCAGATGAGGGGCTTCCGAAAAGGCTGCTGGGAGGTGCCCAGACGAG